CCCCCTCCCCCCCCCCGCCGCTCCTCCGCCGTCCCTCCTCTCCTCCCTTCCCCTCCTCTGCCGGACGCCGCCTCCGCTCCTGAAGGGTCCGGCGGAGAGGCGCGGAACCCCCCCCCCGCGGGATGGCGGTGCGGAGGGTCGCGCTGTGGCTGTGCGCGGCGGCGGGGCTGTGCGCGGCAGCGGAGGAGCTGCGGCTGGCCCTGCTGCACACCAACGACGTGCACGGGCGGGTGGAGGCGCAAGGCTCCGAGACGCGGAGCTGCGCGGACGCGGAGGGCTGCTTCGGCGGCGTGGCGCGGAGGGCGGCGCGGGTGGCGGCGGTGCGGGCCGCTCACCGCAACGTGCTGCTGCTGGACGCCGGGGACCAGTATCAGGGCACGGTGTGGTTCTCCCGCTTCAAGGGTCGGGAGGCGGTCCACTTCATGAACGCCCTGCGTTGGAGAAGGCTGTGGGTTTGTGTTGCCACCTCCTTGAGTGGGTAGCCCTGCGTTGGAGAAGGCTATGGTTTTTTGTTGCCACCTCCTTAAGTGGGTAGCCCTGCGTCGGACAGGGCTGTGGGTTTGTGTTGCCATCTCCTTGAGTGGGTAGCCCTGTGTCAGAGAGGGCTGTGGGTTTTAGTTGCCACCTCCTTGAGTAGGTAGCCCTGCTTCAGGGAAGGCTGTGGGTTTGTGTTGCCATCTCCTTGAGTGGGTAGCCCTGCGTTGGAGAAGGCTGTGGGTTTGTGCTGCCACCTCCTTGAGTGGGTAGCCCTGCGTTGGAGAAGGCTGTGGGTTTGTGCTGCCACCTCCTTGAGTGGGTAGCCCTGCGTTGGAGAAGGCTGTGGGTTTGTGTTGCCACCTCCTTGAGTGGGTAACCCTGCGTTGGAGAAGGCTGTGGGTTTGTGTTGCCACCTCCTTGAGTGGGTAGCCCTACTTCAGGGAAGGCTGTGGGTTTGTGTTGCCATCTCCTTGAGTGGGTAGCCCTGCTTTGGGGAAGGCTGTGGGTTTGCGTTGCCACCTCCTTGAGTGGGTAGCCCTGTGTTGGAGAGGGCTATGGTTTTTTGTTGCCACCTCCTTGAGTGGGTAGCCCTGCACCGGAGAAGGCTGTGGGTTTGTGTTGCCACCTCCCTGAGTGGGTAGCCCTGCGTTGGAGAGGGCTGTGGGTTTGCAATGCCACCTCCTTGAGTGGGTAGCCCTGCACCGGAGAGGGCTGTGGGTTTGTGCTGCCATCTTCTTGAGTGGGTAGCCCTGCGTCGGAAAGGGCTGTGGGTTTGTGTTGCCACCTCCTTGAGTGGGTAGCCCTGCATTGGGGAAGGCTGTGGGTTTGCATTGCCACCTCCTTGAGTGGGTAGCCCTGCGTTGGAGAAGGCTATGGTTTTTTGTTGCCACCTCCTTAAGTGGGTAGCCCTGCGTTGGAGAGGGCTATGGGTTTGCATTGCCATCTCCTTGAGTGGGTAGCCCTGCGCTGGAGAGGCCTGTGGGGTTTTGTTGCCACCTCCTTGAGTGGGTAGCCCTGCGTCGGGGGAGGCTGTGGGTTTGCGTTGCCACCTCCTTGAGTGGGTAGCCCTGCATTGGGGAAGGCTGTGGGTTTGTGTTGCCACCTCCTTGAGTGGGTAGACCTGCATTGGAGAAGGCTGTGGGTTTGCGTTGCCACCTCCTTGAGTGGGTAGCCCTGTGTCAGAGAAGGCTGTGGGTTTGCGTTGCCACCTCCTTGAGTGGGTAGCCCTGCATCGGAGAAGGCTGTGGGTCCCACTAAAGCGTGGTGAAAGGTGGTCAGGATGTGAGGAGGAGATGGTGAGGTGAAGTCATGAGCTGGCAGCCCCACGGGTAGCCAAAAACCAGGAGTTGATGCCAGGGCTACACAGAGCGAAAGGCAGCGATGCTGTGGAATAACCCCCTCCTTGGGAGGGATGGAAGGGAGCCCAGCAGAAGCTGGGGGAGAAGCCCTCCCTGTGATGGAGGGGTTAATCCTGGCTGAGGGTCACAGCCAGCCCTGCCGGCTCCCGTCCTGTGGGAAGGGACAGTTGGCACATGCTGGCAGGGTGAGGATTTTTGGTTTTCATCAGTCCCACCCTGGTCCTGTCGAGTTCCAGGGGCTGTGTGTGAGTGACACAGGGACAGTAAGAGCACAGCTGAGGGAGCTCTCTGAGACAGTGCCAGTCCCACACCTCTGAGCTGCCTCTTTTGGTCTTCCAAGTGCTAAGGGGAAGGTAGAAGAATTTGAGACTGAGGGTGTCACTCCAGGTCCTTAAATCTTTTGTCTCAGGGCAATAGCCTATTAATATATAAAGATTTATCATGGCTTGTTTTGTTTGCCTACAACCCCTGAAAGGAGGAGAGAGGTTAAAGTTATGTTTGAAGGTGTGTTAAAGAGTGATTGCATATTTATTTCATCCCAGTTCACAGCTTGGGAGGAAAATCTGTGCTTATCACATCCTCTGTCTTAATTTTTTTTTTTTTTTTTTGCTTTCCCTGGAAAAGGATTGCGCTTTCTTTCCCCAGGTAAAAAGGGCTTCACCCGTTTCTTCCCTCAGAACAGCTACGGAAGGGAAGGGGATGCCCCAGTGTACTCTCCCAGACTAAACCCTTCATATACCGGACAGACAGGTCCGTGAGGGATGCTGCTTCCTGTTCACATGGCCTAATGAACGGTTTCCTAATTGCAAACTAACCTTAACAGCGTTTTCCTTCCTGATGGAGGACGGGGAGGAGTGTGTGTGTGTTCAGGACTCATCCTCGCAGAGAGCTGGGGAGCACTTTGGGGTTCTGCAGTGCAGAAATGGCTCGAGGTGGTTTTTCCTACCTTTTTCCCCCTAACGATTGCTGCTGGCTGTCATTTCTCTCCCGTTTGCTGGTTTGACTGGTTTCATGGGCAGGCTGGGAGCTTGTATAGCTCCCAGTCATATTACGAGAAGAAATTATTTTGGGTAAAATCAATGGTGTTGAACCAGTGCTCTGTTTTAGAAACATGTCATGTAGGAAGCATCTGCGGACTGGTTAGGAGATCCCATGAGCTTTTTCTTCAGAATAAGATTAAAAAATAATTCCACCCTGTACTGGACAGCCAGAGGCTTTACTGGATGTTCATGCCTCAGGTGAAGTAGTCAACGTCTTGCTCTCTGTGGAGGTGCTGCATCTTATAATTTGATTATTGTCAGAGGATAGAAGGGGACAGGATAGACTGAGAAGCTACAGAGACTTCAGCACCTTCCTCTGCTACCAAAGAGCCTGAGGACAGATGCCCAATGTTGAGCAGCTCACAGAATACTTTATGATTCTTCTGTCCAATGGACCATGGGGACCATGCTGTGGGGAATGGTGGCTGGAGTGGAGGAGCGGGGGGACACTCAGGGACCACAGTAAGAGCCACACTGCAGAAGGGTGAGCTAGTGTTTCTTTAAGGAAAATTTGGGAAGTCACATCCCTGACAGAAAGGGTGGGGATTACCCAAATGGTTAGAAGGGAGATGCAGGAGCAGGATTCCAAACAGGATGAAAGAGGGAACGTGAGTCATAGAAGTTGTTGCAGGATGGGGGCAGGAGCCATCGGAGGATTTAGGGCAGCAGTAGAGGTTTTTTCCATGAATGGGACAAATTTCCTTTTTGAAGTTTGCCCTTTTTGCATTTCTGTCTGTTATCACCTCAAATCTATTTTCTCCTGTTTATCTAAGTATTGTCTTCCAAATTTTCTTGGCACTAGCCTTCCTTTTTGGTGTAATTAACACCAAAATCCAAATTAAGTACCGCAAAGGCAGTAACTGGAGGGGTGATAGAAGTCTTCTAGTTTTACTTATAATAAGTTGCATCCTTCTGTTAAATTGTACCCTGATTTTGAAATATTTTTAGCCTGGTTTCTTGTGAAAAGGAGGATTATATGATCACATGCTGTGTGCCTGAATATTTCTATTTATTCCCCCTTGTGACTTACATTCATGTTGGCCAATGGACTGAGATTTGGTGAAGGGATATTGCACAGGTACAGAGTCCAAGAAGCTTTGGGCATAAGGGTAGTCAGGGAGAGTACAGGAACCCAAAATGGTCCTCATCCTCCTCCCCAGAGGAGGAGCTGCATCAAAAATAAAGCTGTATTATTAGCCACCAGTGATTTCTCATGAACAAGAGACTTTATAACCACCCGCACCATGGGAAAAAATTTGATCAAAGCTTGTATCCTAATGGACATGAAATAACTCAAATACAAGATACAAAGCCAAGAGAAACAAGCTTTCATAAGTGGTTGGTTGAGTTTTGTTGTTTTTTTTTCACAACAAGCTAATGACAGTTACATCCAATTCAAATTCTTATTTCATTTACAATCTGTATTTTGGGGAGGGATAGGGGGGTGGGGGCAGGGTGTTTAATTGCATATTTAGGAGGAACAGAAGGCATAAACATCAGCCAAAAGGAAATAGCTTGTTACCATTCTGAGATGCTTTACCAGTCCGTGGATGTCTTTCCAGAACATCAGTCAAGATCAAAAGGGATTTCCTTAGAGTGTTTTTATTATTATTGTTATTTATTTACAGCAAGTTAGATTGCAGTTAGAATACAGTTAAAAATAGAATATAGTTGGAGTGCCTTGTGTCTCCCCAGGTCAGGATTTTCTTAAAGATAGTTCTTGGTTCTTTTGGAAAAGTGCTGCAGCAGCAACGCAAGCAATTTGGCTCCTTCCCTGGGGTGTGAGGAGTGTTCTCACCAGCGTCAGCAGGAGCGGTCGGTTGCCAGTGCAAGTTCCTGCTGGTATCCTGATTTTTGCATGAGGCCATTGACTACCTGCCCGTGGGTTTCCGAGGAGTCAGGAGCCTTCCTGTCCCCCAAAAGAAAGACACTGCCAGGCAGCTGATTGAAATATTGAGCTTCCCTGCCCGTGGTGGCTTCGGGGTCCTGCTTTGGTTGGACCACGATCAGGGTTAATAACATTTGTTTGGGGAATAAGAGTTGGAACAAACACATAGGGGTTGTTTATCTAAGTAGAGCAGAGATATATATGTCTTTTTAGATGATGAATGTGCCTTTCCCCACTTAATCTTCAGAATGAAATTATGAGCGCATGTTTGGCTGGAAGAGTTGGCCCTTTAGCACCCCTTTGATCCTTTGCTCTGTTGCCACCTGAAAACTTGTACCAAGTTACACTATTGCTATGTGTCTATAAATATGTCTTTCCATCCCTAATAACTAAATATGCTACGAGGTTCTTGCATATCTTGTGCTTCTGCAAAGTTGCCCTCTGCAGAGGTTTTGCTGGCTATTGCCAAACTTGCGGGCACAGGCATGTGGCAGCTCAGGCTGAGCATGAAAAAGGGGCGGGTAGGAGAAAGTTCCATGTTTTTTTTAAGGTAAGTCTATTTTTCTCTGCTTAACCAACCTGGAATGACTAAACATTCTCGTCTTGTTGGTGTGACCTTGCGAATAAATAACCTGGGTTGCTCGTTTTGTGTGGTAGTCTGGGCACTTCACAGTGTTACACACACACCTGCACATGGATTTTCTGTGGAGAGGGTATTAATGATGGCTATAAAATTGTATTTTCTTGTTACATGCTAAAGTACACAAGAACTCTTACTAAATGTGAATTAAATATGGTTTTTAAAAAACTCTCATCCGAGCACAGGCTCTTAAAAGGCATGTTTTATTTAAAGATAACAAATATTGTCATTGGCATTTAATGTTTTCTTCAGTATTTTTTTAAATGGTGTGTTTTCCCTACACAAAATGCATCATTTCCTTTGTGGTTATTGTTAATCCTCTTGCAGTTAACAGGATGAAAAACTAAGGTCGAGATCTAATCTTAGGTTTTAGATTTCGACTTTCACATCTGCATTGATGTGGGCAAAACCCTAAACCTAAAACCACCCCCATTTCTGTGTTTTTGAGAAACGGGAATGTGCCATTTTAGACAAGATAGGGTTTTCTTCCCTAGAACATAGACTTTGTTTTCCCAAACGTACCTTCTCTATGAAAGTATTTAGACTGAATGTTGGAAGTCTTATATTTTCTTCTTGCTTTTCACAGGCTTTGGGGAACCATGAGTTTGATGAAGGTGTGAGTGGATTATTGGATCCTCTTCTTAAAAATGCTAAATTTACAATCCTGAGTGCAAACATCAAGGGGAAAACCCCGTTAGGGAACGAAATGATGAAATACGTTTATCCTTTTAAAATAGTACAGTTTGACTCAGAAAAAGTAGGAATTGTTGGCTACACTACAAAGGAAACTTCTTTTCTTTCACAGCCAGGTATGTTTTCTTTACTGAGTTTATATTCTTTGTTACTATTATATTGCTTGCCCACTTGTCTAAATCTGAAGATGAACATTTTCAGCTGCAAAGTGAGAAGTTTGTTGCTTTATCAGTATTTAGTTGTATTATTCAACATTGTAACTGCCTGATTTTTAAACTGGAGAAGACTTGTTAACACTAAAAGCCATTTTCATACAGAACTGAATTATTTAGCGTCACTAATTATCTAGGAGTATAAGAAGGTCAGTGAGATTACAGGAGAGCTAGGGGAGACCTTTGGGCATTTTGTTGTTCTTTAGGTTTTAAAATTTATATTCTTTTATATTTTATTGTTATTTATCTATTTAAACAAACGTTAAATCATGAATACTGCTTGTCTCAAGAGTGAAGCATGTTCAAACCATGACATTTTTCTGTGTGTTGAAATTTTGCTCTTGGATGCCTCCATGCTCGAGTCCTAGTAAAATCAAGGAGACCTTCATATGTGTTTTTGAAGCAGAAGTTGCCCAAGATGTTTTTAGCCTCTCAAATATTTCCAGAAATTAGACTACAGAAGGAACACCCATTCAGCTTTTACCACAATTGCTTCATTCATGAGTAAAATTAGAATTGATGAGGAAAAAGACTTCTCAATTTCTGACTATTTTTTCCAACATTTAAGGGGTTTTGGTTTGTTGGGGGTTTTTTTTTTTAGTAAAATAAAATGGTCTACTGGAATGAGAAACACATTTAAATCAGCTGTAGAAGATCTGAGTCACTGCCTGCACAAAGCTCAGCTCCCCTCTGACAAAATCAGACTTTCTTCCCTGGTTTTTGCAGTAGGGATGCCCTAAGCACCAGTTTAAAGCATTTTCCACATTGAAAAAGGACTTGATATTATTACTTCTCTTTCCATTGTTCATTAATAAAGAAGTAGCGCATCGCTTTCATGAGACAAGGACTATTCAATGCTTTGAGGAAGTATTAGAATATAAAACTGTTCCTTTGGTGCTTTTTAATTCCTATGCTGTGTGTTTAGGCTATCAGGAAGTGAACGTCTGAGGTCAGAATAGGCTTCTATATCTCACTTCTATTTTACAGCCACATGTCTTTCGTGTCCTTTATTCCCCCCACAACGAAAATGAAAATTTTTGTGTATTTTCTGTAGGCACTAGATTTTCACCCGTGCTTCAGGGCATGAGGGTAGATACCGTCTAGTATCATGCTAAATTTGAAAAATGGACAGACAGCCAATAGTGTGCTTCATTAAGGATTATAAAAATAGGTCTCAGCTCTTCTTCCAAACATCTGTGCTGGTGTGGTGGGGTCATCAAATTCATTTTCTTGCAAATAAATATACTGGAGGGAAACGCAAAGAGCATTGGAGTGTTTCTCTGAAGCATTTCAGTATATTTCCAACAAATTCTAGGCATCTTACTGAATCTGCTGAGACATCATAATAGAGACCACAACTAGAAAAAACAGTGTTAAAAGGGAAGGCTTGTTAGCTCCATAGATGGAGCTGAAGCAGCCCCAAGCTAAGTATATCCCACAGTGTAATTAAGTAACAATCAGGGCAAATTCTAACAGCAACATTTATGGCATTCAGAGGTTTTATAATTTTCTGCTTTGCCTTCTCAGTGTGTGGGGGAACGTTTGGAAGCTTTAAAAATGTGAACTCAGGATATGTTACTATAACTCAGCGATGATGTGTCACCCATGACCCAGCAATCCTTCAGACTGATAAAATCATGGCAGAGGTGGGTCGGTGGCAAAATAATTATCCGCCTAATTCCTTAGTTCAATTAATAAGGTACGCTGTGAGTTCAGCACTTTGCTTATCTCTCCGTGCTTCCCCCAGATGATTCAGTTTTCCCAGACTCTGCAGCCAGTGCTTTGGCACTCTGTGCACTCGTAGGGCATTCTCAAGGCAAATAGGAAGCTTGAAAATGCTGAAACATGTGAATTCCTACATGACCGCTTTCCGTGGAAATCTTTTGGCAAGAGTGTAATTTCTTCTATTGTTAAACCCCAATAACTTCCACAGAATTATGAAATGGCAACTTGTACTTTTCATAATCTGCTTGAAAACAGAGTCCTTAAATCTCAGTCTTTCCATTGTGAAGGAACAATTAATCTCTGCTGAAGGTACTGTTAATGTTACTGTTTGGAAACCATGGGGATGGGGAACTCTTAGCACAATTTATAGATTACAGCCAACTGGCAGTTTTTTTGAAAATTCTCCTCCATTTTGCTGTATACAGCTATCTCTGCTGAATGCCCAGCCAGTTTTTCCACATCCTGCAAGAGTTCCTCATAACTTGGTGCATAAACAGGGTTGTTGATGTATTTGTTATGTACTGGTAATCCCAAGATCATCCTTCTGGTGTTTCATGGTACCAGCTCACCTCCCTTAGTTCTGCAGTGATGTCGTTAAACCCCACAGAGAAGTTAATGTCTTTATCTGTCCTGAGAAGGGCTACATCCACATTCGGTGCTGTGAAATAATGTGTCTCATTTTGTCCATTTTCGTGTAAGGTGGAAACCCAAAGCGGCTCGCTCTGTAACCCTACAGGCAGCAAAATATTTACAAAACTATCAACTTGGCAGAGTTTCCTAAAATGGAATTTTAAATTCCACTTATTCCACTTTATTCTGGCTATCTTGCGTAATATTTTTCATGTGCAGCCAGTTTCTTTCTCCTTGTTCATTTATAGCACAGTTTGGATGTTTTATCTGAAACTCTACCCCAGAGGGTGTCACATCAGTTTAGTGCCTTGCAAGAGGAGTGAAATGCTGACACGGGCAATAGCTTACTTTTAAATAAGGACTTGTTTGGAAAAATGTGCGGTTGAGTACTAAGCCCTATATTGCTTTTTGCCTGGTTTCTTCGAGAAATGAGTGCAGTGTAATTGCTCTTGCAGCCCCCTGCTGTATAACTTCTCAACCTGCTGGCCCATTTCAGCTCCATTAGTCCAAGTGCTGAGATGACTGGGGTGGGAAGCCATGTGAGATGCCACAGCAAGGTCATGGAGAGGGGGTGTGAGGAGCCCCCAAAGTCCCCAAGGCAGGAATCTCTTTCCACAGCACACAGCAGTTGGGTGGGTGGGCTGGCATTGCCACTGCCTGTCCCAGCACTGGTGGCTCCTTGTCCAAGGAGAGAGATGGACTTACTGGCATGGGACAGGCCTTGTTTTTCCCCTCATTATCAGAGTAGGTTTGTTTGTTTAAATGGGGATTGAAGATTAATAACAATATGTCTTCACTGTATGGTTCATTGTAGGCTGCAGTGATGTCGAGGGTGCTGGTGGGGAGAGCTTGGTTATGGTGGTCCACCTGGCTGCATGTCATGAGAGAAGTTAGCCTGTGGGCAACCGCATGCTAGCACAGTCAGCGGCTCGGTCTTCCTCTTAGAGACTTCAGCTCTCTTTGCAGAACTGGTCCCCGCACCGTGGTGTTCATGGCTGTTGTAGGTGGTCCATGGGAGGCGAGATGAGCATGTGAAGGGCCTATGCTCAAGGAGCATTTCTTGGACTTCCCCTTTTGCCAGTAGCTCTACATCAGGCCCAGCTTCTGTCAAGCACAAGGACGTACAAAGAGGGGCTGAAGCTGGTTCAGCCTGGAGATGGAAGGCTAAGGGGGAACTAAGTGCAGCCCTCTACTGTCCTCAGGGGGGTTGTAGAGAAGACAAGGATAGATTCTTCCCAGAGGGGCACCGAGAAAGGACAAGAAACAATGGACTCAAGTAGTACCACAGGAAATTATGGTGGGGCATAAGGAAAAAATTTGTCATGGTAAGAGCGGTTAAGCCATGAAACAGGTTGCCCACCGAGGTTGTGGAGTTTCAGCTTGTTCAGACAAGACCCTGAGCATCCTCATCTGGTGTTGAGTTCCTCCAAAAACGAGCGGTTTTTGGACTAGATGGCTCCCGGAGGTCCCTTCCAACCTCAATTAACTTATGACTCTTTGATTCTAAGAAGAGGTCCACAGGAAGAAAATGTGGGGGATGCACGGCACAATTCCCTCTGCAATGTGCAGCACAGAGATTCCCTCTGGCAGTAGCAGAACTATTCAATGGGTGTGGTGGTGAACCACTTTATGTAACCCTCTTTTATCTCTTCCATTGTAGCAGCTTCCTCCTCATTTCCTGAGACATTTTGCACTGGATTGTGAATTCGTCTCACTCCTCCCTTTGTTATGAAATAATGTAAATCTTTTGACTTTAAAGGCGTACTTCAAAATGGTTTGATCAAAAGACTCTGCAGGAAGGAGCGGAATTAGGTAGAGGGGAAATTGGTAGAAATGTTACTCGGTTGTCTTCACCAGAAAGTGCAGGATTGCAGTTTATTGGATGTTCTCTGTTCTTAAAACTTTGTCAAAGCAATGAGTCTCTTACATAGGAAGTCTTCTTGCGCAACCCAAAACACTCTGCCCAGGACAAAAGCGCGTGTTTGGCTGGTGCTTTTGTAACTGTTTGTCCTGTTTGTTAGAATAATTTCAGCGGGCACAGAAACCTTGCAGAAGGATTGTCAGTTTCCCAACGTTGTGGTCCGGAAAAGGTTTCTCCTTTCCAGATTTTCCATTCTTTATGGTCTCGTTTCAGGATGGTATCTCGATTGTGTGCTGTACTGCCTGTTGGTGTTACTGAGAGTGGCCCACATTAGGTGGAATAATTTGTGTAAAAAGGCAATTCAGAGTTTAGTGCAGGACTTTAAAGACGAGCCTGTTTAAAGCCATGAGAGGGCTGAAGAGTGAGATGAGTGTGGAGTAAAAAAAGAGAGGTTAACTTAACATTGGAGAAGATAGAAGATCTCAGATAATTTCATATAGTATAATTTGGGAAGAAAAAAGCTTTCTAATACAATGCGAGTGTTTATACTGAAACACTTACGGATGTATTGTATTAGTCTAAGGACACAGGTTCTCCTGAGAGACTGGGGAACATTGCATCAGATCAGGAGCTTCAGTCAACTAAGGAAATTTGAAAGCCACAGACGTTCAAAGTGCCATTAATTATACAAAATAGTATCCAATATCAACTACTTTTTTTTTTTTTTAAACAAGTAATTAAGGTACTTTGTAATACATTCATGTTTGTTTTTTCTTAAGGGGGTGATGTAATCTTTGAAGATGAAATCGAGGCATTGCAACTCCAAGTGAATCAACTGTCTGCTATGGGAGTGAACAAAATAATTGCCCTAGGGCATTCTGGGTTTACTGTGGACAAAAATATTGCCCAAAAAGTGAAAGGAGTGGATGTTGTAATTGGAGGACATACAAACACATTTCTCTATACAGGTATTTTACTTCTGAGTAAAGTGTTGCTCCTAGAGCAAAGCTGAAACTGTTTCTCCTTAAACTTGGAGAATCTGCACCAATATAGTTTAGTGCTGGCTGTACTGGGCCAGATTCAGAGTTGGTGTTCAAGGATGGGGCTTTGAGCAACCTGGTCTCCTGCGAGGTGTCCCTGTAAATGCCTTGCTTTAATCTGTCTGTTTCCAAGTCCTACATCTAATCACCCTTCAAACTTTGCAGGTCGATAAGAGTTTTAAATCCATGACTGTGTAACAAAAATGCTAATGAAGTTTGCTTCTGCAGAGGGTTTGCAGCCTGTCTGAAGTTGCAGAGGCTAAGTTTGGTATAGTTAAAAAAATCAGTTGGGTGTATGCACAAATTGACAGAACTGCTTGCATTCTGTGGGTATTCTGACTGCGTATTGTCAATAAAAATTGTTTAGACTTTTCCATATCAAGAAGCCATATGTGTATTTCACTAAAATTCTCATTTTCGAGCTGATGCAGAATAATGTAGCGTGAAGGCTTAACAATAAACTTTTCAGCCAGAGGCCAGTACATGTGCATTACTGAGAGGTTTAGATTGAAATAACTGGAATGAAAAGTTCCTTTGTTGCTATTGTGACATGATGTCATGGAGGAGTGTGCTGTCACAACTTAAAAAACACTGTGGCAGTTATTAGAGCTCACGTCCTGAAAAACAACATTGTGTCTTATGAAATAACATAACTGATCAATCAAACACGGGCTTGTCGTCCAATGCATTCATTGTTCTTTCTGCTTAATGTCCCATTTGGGGTTGTTTTTTTTTAAGGCTGAGAAACATTTGAAATGTCGTTCTAATAATTCCTTGAAGGTCACACGAGTTGAAGACCCGCTTCACATGCTTGTTTTGTGCAGGCACCCCACCCTCTACTGAAAAGCCAGCTGGCCCCTATCCATACATGGTTGACTCAGACGATGGGAGGAAGGTGCCAGTTGTACAGGCTTATGCTTATGGAAAATATCTGGGTTACTTAAACGTGACGTTTGACGAGAAAGGAAATGTGGTGGAAGCGGTTGGAAACCCCATTCTGCTGGACAGCCGTGTCCCTGAAGGTATGTGGACCAGGCAGTTGCCTTTGCCTGCAGCACCCCGCTGCAATTCCAGTGTTATGATGTTAAATACATCCTCCTCCTCACGGAGGAATTCAGCTTTCGTCCTGAGCTTGCACTTCTCTTCTGGGTAGGATTCAGACTGTTATAATTGTACCCATTTGCCTGCCTTCCTTGCCTCCCTCTTTTCTTTCTTTTTCTTTCTTTTTAATTTCTCCTCGAACATGCACGAATTCACTGTATGTTTTTGTCTGTTTAAAATCACTGAACGCCCTTTTGTAGGAGCTGAGGTGATGTGCTGCTTTACCATTTAATAGAGCCCATTTTAGCTAGCCCCATAATTATGATTTAAAAGATTATGATGACTAATACGCACAGTTCTGCCAGACGCTGGGTTCTTCAGAACAGAGTTTAGAGCTATATAGGAACCTGGGAATGTTCCAGAAAAAAATTGGAATACTCTGGCAATGTGCAAATATAATACACACACCCCATGACTCCTTGTTTTCCGTGCTGAGCGTGTTCAGTGTTTCAGCTCTGAACCATTTAAAGAATGGGAGAAGGAGAGTCTCTCTGTTCATCACACTGTCCAAGCTCTGGTACCTGCTTTTTGTCAGCTCTGTAATTGCCCAGGACCCATTCTCTAGTCTGTGTTTCTTGTTCAGTGCTTGTTTGTATTTTATAGACTATCTAGGTTTTAGCAGAGTATTATAAAATAAATCCTTATAAAATGATGTGTTAACAGATATTCTTATTAACTGTGTTATTCTCAATGATCTATTAACGTAATGAGATGATGTAAAGAGACTTTACGTTCCCTGGCTGATGTCAGTAAAAATTCAGGTACAGGTGCTCCCATTTTATAAATGCTGCTGTTGCTGACAGTTACGTGGCAAATTGCTTAAAACTAATAGCTGATATAAAACAGTTGTGACATTATCAGTCTTTATATATAAAGTATCTTTGTTATCTTTTTCTTCTGAAAGAATTAGATTTGCACCTGGCAGGCAGATGTGCATAGAAAATTAATTTCTATAAAGGGTTTATTCCTTGGCATTGATATTTGAGTTAGTATTCCTTTTAGCACTACGTCAAAGGGGACGAAGCTGTAATTAGGGGGAAAAAAAATACATATGATGTCAAATAAAAGCTAAGCTCACTTGTATATTAAAAATTTTCTAACCTGTCAAGGCAGGTGCTAGAAAACCATCGGTCAGAGGTTAGAACCAGACTGGGCAAAAATATTTGTAAGTGTTATAGAAGAGATAACCTTGCTGTGGCTCAGGAATAGCTTGTTCACTTGATTGTCCTGTCCTGCCTGCTCTCTTTGAAGTGAGCGTAGAGGTCATGTTGCTTGAAGAGCCTTTAGGGAAAGTGTAACATTTTAGAATCATGAAGAGCAGGTTTTTTTTCCTAAGCTTTGTATTCACTGAAGTGTCACTTATATGAGATACATGCGATGCTTGTTTTACACTCTTACATTACTTTATAGATGAGAACATTAAAGAAGAAGTGGAAAAATGGAGGAAAAACCTGGGGAATTATTCTGAAGAGATTGGAAAAACTAGTGTTTACCTGAATGGAACGAGCCAAGCGTGCCGTTTCCAGGAATGTAACATGGGAAATTTACTTTGTGATGCCGCGGTAAGACATTGCCACCACGGGTGACAATCACATCTAAGTGTTAACTTCAGAGCTATTTCACTGAATTTTTTAGAGTTGGAAGGGACTCTAGAGTTGGAGTTGGACATAGAGATCATCTAGTCCAACTCCCCTGCTGAAGCAGGATTGCCTAGAGCTTGTCAGAGCATGTTACTCAGGACTGCATCCAGGCAGGTCTTGAAAATCTCCAAGGAAGGGGACTCCACACCCTCCCTGGGCAGCCTGTTCCAGGGCTCTGTCACCCTCACTGTGAAGAAGTTTCTCCTCATATTTGAGTGGAACCTCTTATGTTCCAACTTGTGCCCGTTGCCCCTCGTCCTCTCACTGGGAACCACTGAAAAGAGTTTGGCTCCCTCCTCCTTCACCTCACCCTTGAGATACTTGTAGGCGTTGATAAGGTCTCCCCTCAGCCTTCTCTTCTCCAGACTAAAGAGTCCCAGCTCTCTCAGTCTCTCCTCATAAGGAGAGACTCCTTATGAGAGAGAGACTCTCCTCATCCTCAGATGAAATGCTCCCAGGCTCCAAACTGTCTTGTCTCATCTCCCTTTGCCTTCAGCCTTCAGAGCAGCCAGTGGCAGGACCTTCAACCGCTGACCTGCAGGTCCTGCAGAGACCTTGCTCTGTTGTCCCTACGCAGCCGGCTGCCCGCTGGCTGAACGCCTGCTGGAGGCCAAGGAGAAGTCCTTGCACTGGAACACTTGGTCCCTCTGCACCCTCTTCACGCCCTCATGATTTTGTAGGCTTCCTAAATATTTTTATTACGTTGTCTCTTCAGCAGGTCAGGCAGCCCTAGCCTGCGTCATCGTTCTATGTTCAAAAACCTTTCTGTGACTATCCTTGTTGTGAATTGTTCTTAGTTTTTTATCATTCTTGAAATATGAAAACACACCTATTCCTACTCAGCCTGCAACAGCCCTTCTTCATTTTATAGAGTGCTGTCACATCCTTCCTGTATTTCTCTCTTTGTGAGACTGAGGAGTAACAACAATATTTTATTCCTGTGTGGAAATCAGTCCATCCCTTCCATTACCCTTCTTTCTTTTCTTAGCCTTTCCTGTTCCATTCAGTTATTTCTGAGGATTAATGCTGTGGGTTTATCATCCTGATGCAACTGAGTAAATCCTTGGTCTCCGTTTTCTTTCCTACTTAGGATGCCACAAGTAAATATTATCTTGTCCTTGGATTTTATCAGTTTTGCCACCGTTGAAGACACGATGCTGTGCAGAGTGGGCTCCTGGATCTGACCTAGTCTGCCTGTTTCCTGTTCCTTTGCTCTTTTGCATCTTTCTACTTTGCCCAGACCATTCCAAGTACTAAAAACCCATCACAGAGAAGCTGAAAAATCTTAATTCCCTGCAAGATATAACAAAACTTAGATTAATTTATATATTCCCCTACATATTTTTAATGTGCAGCTATATTTAAGGTCCTCTTCGCTTCCCAGTTCTACAGATATGCTCAAAACATTGGTCTTTATCACAGTCGCTGTGATATAGAGCGATGTAAAACTTTTTTTCTAACTCTTTTCAGTCTCAGATTGTATTTGCTGTAGATTTCCAGAGTCTGGACTAAGTGAAGATTAAACATTTTCTTTTTGTAGCTTTATGAGAACGTCGTACGTCCGGATAAAAAGTCATGGAACCACGTTTCCTTGTGCATCCTGAATGGAGGTGGGATCCGGTCGCCCATCGATGAACAGAGCACTAATGGTATGTAAAATTACAAGCTGAATGACAACTTTATCAAGAAGGAATAATCGAGTCTGAACCCAGTGTTAGGTATGGGCTTGTTTTGGTGGGATTTGCACAGTGTTTGGAAGTGATTTCAAACTTTATCGAATGGTGACCCCTCGTTAGAGCCCAACTGCACTCAGGCTGATGTTAATAGAAGTTACTGGCATTGTTTGTACACAATGTTTTTTATCATTTCCCTCTCTCCTTCCTGCCTCGGACCAAAGAGAGATAGTGGATATTTCTTCCACTCTCCACCCAACTGTAGAGGGTCATACAGTGTGGTTGCTGGGAGCCTTCCATAGTCTGGTGTAGAATAAATGAATTTGGGGTTTTCTGAATGCTGAAGTTTTACAGTTATTTTCCTGGTATCACATAAAACAGGGTTTTTTTCATTTTAGCTACATTTTTCTGTAGGTCTACATGAATAAGTCTTAAGCAATTAGAAAATTTTCCTTAGTAAGAGTATCTGTTTTTCTTCAGCTTGGGTCGGTGGTCTGTAATCTCTTTTAATGGAGTAATTTAAATAGCAACACATGCAGTTACACCAAACTCAGATTTATTAGCCTTGATACTTGCTGGATGCTAAAGATGCAGGTTCTTTGGTTGGGACAATATACGTAATCCTCACCTCTGTTGGCCCTCATTTTCTCAGATATTGTGTTTGTCCTGTTCCTTGTCAAAAACCTACCGTTAATAATACTGTAAATGTACTGTTAATAATATTGTATATTTAAAAAAAATATATAAATGAATGTAAATAAAGTCTTGTTCCCCCAGGTAGCATTACGGTGGAAGATTTGCTGTCTGTTTTGCCCTTTGGAGGTCGCTTTGATGTGGTGAGGCTCAAAGGCTCCACTCTGAAAGAAGCTTTTGAGCACAGCGTGCACAGATACGGAGTGGGAAGCGGAGAGCTGCTGCAGGTTGGAGGTACATTGTCTTCTCGGTTCTCCAAGCCACCCACCCCTTCTGTTGGCCTTGTTCCTATTACACCTGGAAGCCTCTTTAAGAATGGAAATCAAGCTGGCTGTACATCCTAGCCCTAATTAACTCACTAGCCCTAACTGCTCAGCTAACTAACGCTTTTCATCCTGTCTGTGTTTAATTGAGTTGCTCAGCCCACAGGTCATCGCTGTTCCCTGCAGCAGGGACAGGATTCCCAGTGCAGTAACCCATAATGACAGCAGTTTAAGGCTTCAGTTAACCAGGGGAAGGTGTAACTGAGGAGAGCTGTAACCCAGTAATAGCTACAACAACCTCCTGCTGTCGGTTCTCCCCTGGCAGCCCTCCCTGAAACCCCAGGCTGGATGTCTCTGCCAGTTTTTGCCAAATCTCAGTTTATCAAAATCATTTTGCACCGTCGTCTAATGCTTGCTGACTTAGTCCAAGTGGGCTATGGAATTGCCCCAGTAAATTTCTAAATATTTTAGGGACGAACGGCTAATATTAAAAGCATGCACATTTCTTGTACTGCAGCTCCCCACATACTTACCCAGATGTGCACTGGGCTACGGTCATGTTTATTCCTGGTCTCTCTGTGATGCAGTGAGGATTTCAGTGTTTATTTAGCAGAAGAATTAAGAACAGGGGCTGAGGGATTTTTTCCCCTGCTACATAGCCTGGAGATGGGGGCACTACCCCCTCCATGTGATCTAGAAGCCCCACATGGCAAGGACACCACCCGTGACCAGGTTCTTGGGTACCACTGAGGTAAAGCAGCAGCAGCCCTTCTGCTCGTTGAACTTTTCACAGGGGGGAAAAAAAAAGAGAACCAGTAGCTCTGGAAGGGGTTCAGGACAGAAGATGCAGAGCAGGAAGAGCGCCAGGGTTGGAAGAGCCTCTCTGCTTTGGATGAGCTTTTGTGGCTTCCTGATCAGCAAGTTCTTGGCAACGCTCTTCCAGGGGCCTGACTCTCCCCAGGCTTCGACCGAGGAAGGTTCACGACTAGAAATGTTAATTTTAGAGCGAGCAGAAACCGCAACGTTCAGCCCTGGCCTGGCTTTCCTTTTTTTAAGGACATTACTTATTATCCGTAATAGCTGCTAAGTTGGGGTGGCTGGCTGGTTTTAAAAGAAGTCATTTTGGCCAACGAGGCAGTGGAACGAGAAAGCGTAAGACTGCAGAAACGAGGGAAGGTATTTTTATCATGTAGTGTCCAAATCCCATGACTAATAATTTCCTTCTGTGGAAAAGTGATGAGAGCAGACGATGAGATAAACACCTGAGGTGGGACCGCACTTCAGCAGTTCTCAAACCTTGTGAATTTTCTTGGATAAAAGTTGATTAATGTAAAGGGCACTAACTGGTATCACTCAGAGCAATAAAACCTCTCAGTCCCGTAGGGAATCTGTTGAAAGCGGTGGAGGATGGTGCTTCTAACCCTCTATGTTCAACAAATGCTGCATGAAGTGACCTTCAAACGTGTGTTTTCACAGGCATCCACGTGGTCTACGATCTCTCCAGACCCCCTGGCAGCAGGGTTGTCAGCTTAGAAGTGCTCTGCACGGCCTGCCGTGTCCCAGCCTACGTCCCCCTCCAGATGGACGAGATCTACAACGTGACTCTTCCATCCTACATGCTATTTGGAGGGGATGGCTACAGTATGCTGAAGGACAAGAACCTGGGATACAGTAAAGGTAAGGATGGGCTCCAGCAGGGGAGCAGACACACAATTCCTAAAAGCTGAAAGGTCTTTTTATAGTACAAGTCGCAGATTTTCTGCTTTAATTGGATAAATTAAATTTGCTTCTAATCTGACAGCTCTGGATTGCTAGTTTTGGTTGTGGCCAGCAACTGTGTTATTTTTCAGTTAATTCACAAAAGCTGCAAAGAGAAACTAAGCCTCGTCAGCTCCACGCTGCTTAGAGAGCAGTTCTGAGATTGTGGCAAACCAGGAAAAAAGGCAAAAAGCACCCCATAGAGATCACATGTTACAGGTGCTGCTTTGCACTCGCACTTATGACTAAACAATGCCTCAAAAAGAAAGATGTTGTTTTCTTTCTCTGCGGGAATGAGCCCATCCCTCTGAGATCCCCGGGACTCTCAGGGGTTCCACCAGCAGCAGCAGGCAGGGTGCCCACAGACCCCACGCTGGGGAGGCAGAAAGAAACAGTTTTATGATGCTCTAACAGAGCAAACTGTTAGAAATTCAGCTTTTGAGACAAAAGGAAACTTGAAAAAAAAAAATTGAGATTAAAATTAATCATTTTTGAAAACACAAGAAGGATGTAGTGCTGTATTTTTTAAAAAAAAATATACTAGGAGCATATCTACATCTGGCAGAACTTGATTTTTGTATGTTTTGCTTCTGGATGGTAAAAGCATGCTTTTCCCCAAAAACCTTTCCTTTTGGACCTTTTGTTACAGACTATTCTTTTGTTTCAATTTAAAATCGATTCTCACACGCGGGATTGGTGTTTTAAATCGAATTCAACCTGGAGCTTGTAAATTTGGGTGGGCTGCAGTTTTCAGTAAATACCTGTTTATGCAGAAATAAGTTGGAGAGAAATCATTAGGAATGATGAAAGGGAACAACTTGAAAGGTTCTGGTGAAGTCAAGTCTTTCAGCAGAGCAGAGGGGCAAAACTATAATTATTTTTAAGGTGGAGGTGTCAGACTTCAGGATTGCAAGAGCTTGGATGAGAAGGGGCTGGTGACACGGTTGGCAGCAGTGACTGTAGCCAATCCCCATTGTACTTTGTGTGTGCACAGCAGGGCACAGACTAGAACTTCTTCCTAAAAAAACCAAAGTAAATTTAAATTTGAAAAGGCGTAAGCAATAGCTTTGCGAGATCTATAGCATTCTACCCCAAACAGGTGGGAGACTATCTCAATCTACCTAAATCTGACTGGAATTTACCATTTTAACAGAGGCAAAATAATTAAAAAATAAAGAGCCAGACAGTAGGAAAAGAATTCTTTTTTTTGGTAAACTATGAGTTGCTATGAAAAATTCTGGCTAGAAACAAACCACCAGAGATCATAGAATCATAGAATGGTTTGGGTTGGAAGGGACCTCAAAGATCATCGAGTTCCAACCCCCTGCCCTGGGCAGGGACACCTCCCACTAGACCAGGTTGCTCAAAGCCCCATCCAGCCTGGCCTTGAACCCCTCCAGGGATGGGGCAGCCACAGCTTCTCTGGGCAACCTGGGCCAGTGTCTCACCACCCTCATAGTAAAAAATTTCTTCCTGAGATCTAATCTGAATCTTTTTTTTTCCAATTTAAAACCGTTTCCCCTTGTCCTATCATTACACCTCCTGGCAAAGAATCCCTCCCCAGCTCTTCTATAGGCACCCTTCAGATATTGAAAGGCCTCTATAAGGTCTCCCAGGCCACTATAAGGTCTCCCTTATAGCGGCCTGGTGTGTTGAAATGAGTCTCCAGGCCCCTACGCTGTCTCGGTGCACACCAGTTCAGAAGGGCAAACCACAGACAACACTTTGCTTGAAGATTTGAGCTAAAGCTGCAATTTTAGACAGGTTCTTAAAGGCCGGTTCAGAGCCCGGCAGAGAACACGGCGCCTTTTCTCCTTCCTTTCTTCAGGTGAGCCTGACGTGGAGGTGGTTTCCCGTTACCTCCAGAGGATGAAGAGAGTTTACCCAGCAGTGGAAGGTCGGATCAAGTTTTCTTCAGGCAGCCTCACGGAGGCAAGCCTGACCCTCATTTCTCTACTGTTCACTTTAACATTCTTGCACACTTGATTCTGGCTCCAGCGTTTGGAGGAAGGCGAGAGGAGAGATGGTGCTCACAAAGGGAAAAGGCAACTGTTCTCTTTTTCTTACACCTTAAAATGACCGTGGGTTTAGGTTTCTGCATGACCTCGGTAAAGGGCACAAATAATTGTCTTTAATCTGGTGGAAGGACCGGAGCACAGGCCGTGCAGAACAAGGGGGTTCTCTTTCTCTCAAGCAGCAGGTACCCCCAATTCAGCCTGAGGTTTCAAGCAGCAAACTTCCAGTGGATCCTAACTCTTCATCAGAAAACAACCGCTGACCGGAATGGGGTATTTTTAACGTGTCAAATTCTTTTAGATGATAGTGAGTTGGTTAAAAATCTGATTCCAGTACCATAATCAAGCTTCTAGAAATGGATTTATTATAGGTGTATATACCTTTCTTTGGTCTCCTCTCAGGGTTAGAGCTTTGCTTCCAGTCATATTTGTCATTCCTGCACCGATGCCTGAAAGAACTGGATTTAACTCAGTAGCATTTAAAGCATGAGGTCCATTTACACGCAGTTAAAAAAGGGGTTTCTATTTTACTTTTGAAAATGCAGTATCTCACTTCTGTTTTCCATTAATAAAGGACGCAAGGAAAGCTTGATTTGATTTTGATCACTTTTAACCAATGAAGTATATATACACTTTGCTATTTATTAACATGACCGGTTTGGGGACTGTATTTAGAGTGAGAGCACAACCTGTGATTATGTTTGGTACAAATATGCTCAATTTTATGCCTTTTTCCAAAGACCAAAGCACAGGACTCCAGACCATTCCTCTGTATCAGCAACGTTCAGAGGGAATGGTAGATACACACACCAACTCCTGCAGCAGAGGGACAGCCTTTGAAAGTTGCCCAATAATGGGGCTTTTTACAGCATAACCTGGCTTTAGGATAACTGTGAGCATCAATCAAAAGCCTGTCCCTTCTATAGGGAAGCTGCATTTAAAAAATACACAGTTGTAAGAGACAGGCTAATGAGTACAAAATCAGAAATCATATTAAATGCTGAGTGTACATTTCTGATGCTTTATCAAGAAGTGACTGCTTATAAATGAGTGCGAGCGATGATTATTTTTCTAAAATTGTTCACATTTGGAATTTTGACACCAATGTGTTTCCCTGTTGTTTATTGCTGTATTAAATGGATTCTCAGTGTTTTGACTAAACCTGCTTTTGTTCTTCTGGAAAGTGCTACGTTCTTTTTCAGACCTGAGCTCCTCAACTCCTAAATTCCCTGCACCTGCGGATTTCAAGGAGGAGGTGCATTAAGGTAAACACTGAATACCTTTAAATTTCAAGACCTCGTTAGTTTCCACATAAATTCCAAGGGTTGTGCACGAAAAGATCCGGACTCTACAGCGGCATTAGGTAAGTTGTGTTAGAGCAGGGAGACAAACAACTGACCTTGATGATGATTTGTCAATGCCTGTCCTTAAAGTTACTAATTTACAGGATGATCTTCCCCAAATCAACACAAAAACTGTAGCAGAGAGAGCACTTATGGCCCCAGCTGTACCCACACGCCAATTTTTAAAGAGTTATAACAACTCCTTCAGCATATCCAGAGAGAAATAACACTTTTACCTTCTTTGGACAAACTGAAGGAAAGGTATAAAAAAGTAATATGGATCAGTAACACAAATTGTACTGACAAAGAACACTTAGATTGATTGGTTTGTAAAAAAAGATACAAGAAATTTTTGTCTGAAAAGAAAAATTGAGGAATTCCCATTAAAATATCTCTGTATTGTTCTGAGAGTAGAACTTGTTAAAAATCCAGGTATGAAGGTCCTTTGCAAAGTCTCTTTTATAAAGGCTGGGCCAACAAATTAAAAATCTTCCATGCATTTTTATACTAATAATTTTTTAGAAAATGCTATGAACAGACTCATATCCTTTTCTGTAGCCCGTAAAGAGGATGTCAGAAAAAAACCCTGACAAACCCATATAAGAAATCGCAGAAAAATAAAGGCTACGGTAAAAGTCAAAACCACTTTTCACACCCATTGTTATTTTAAGAGTGCTTTAGATTTGAAGGTATTAAATAAGCTAAATTACACACGTGACTTTCCATGATCACGGAAAGCACGAAGGCCAAAGGCAGTCCTGAGCTGATATTTATATGAAAGATTCAAATCATGTAATTTTGTTTTTTAAGAAAATAATTGTAAGATTTGTTAAGACAGTTAAAAATAACTTCATGGGAGCATTCTACAACTTAAACAATTTTTCTAGCTATCCTTTAAGGAAGACAACAGGAATTGCTCTTCTAGCAAAGCATATGTGGGCTGGTCTCCCAGCCATCCTGTTTTATGTCACCCTGTAATTTCACACATGGAGATTATGGGGAAATTCATTTGATTTTTACTGATAACAGCTAAAACAAATTTTAAATAAGAAGTACAGATGTATTATTTACTTGTAATCGGTATTAAATTTTAATGTCTTTATTGCATAAAGAGATTTTTTTTTTAGAACTTCAATGTCATGTTATTTACAAGGAAATATACAACGCAAGGTGACAGTGTCAGGTGCCCGTTACATGTTTCTGTCCAGCAAGGTCCTTGCAGTCACATCCAGCACGACACAGAGCTCGCTTCCTTCGGCCCCTGGCAAACAGTGATGGAGAGAAAAATTGACTTATTAAGTATGAAAATGCATATTTACATACAAATGACTGAACTGAGCCACAGTGATTAATGGTGTTTGAAAACATCCACTCGAAACCAGAGTTAAGAGAAAGGAAGGCTACTCCTTTCAGGTTTTTAATACTATTTCTTGAAATAGGCATTTTCTTCTTTCTCTGGAAGTTCTCCCATTCCTAACTTCTAAATACAATTTTCTTAATGCAGCGATTTTCTCCTCCGGAAATGGCACTGCCGTGGTATTTTATCAACTGGATTTCTTTCCTTCCTCTCCATTTCCTAGGAACGATCCTCCTGTCTCAGCTACTCCTTTTTTAACTTGTATCCTGTCCCACAGACTTCCAAGGGCCTGGCTGTACATTGAATCAAAGGCTAAAACTTATATATTTGGTAGGTTTAAGCTCTTTTCTTTACAGCAGACTAGAAGAACAGGGCTACGTCAGGTCTTTTTTGCAGCACACAAGTCACCAGGCTACTACTTTATTCCTTTAGTTGGTCAGGTCTTCTTTTGTTTTTAATGATATGCATTTATACAGTATATTTGTGTCATCTGAATTCTCTGTCCTTATCTGGACAGTGGGAGTGACCAAACTAGAGGTAAGGAACCCTCCTGCCAAATGTTCTTAAGAAAAAATTCCAAAGCTCAGGCTGAGCCCCGGATGCAGAATTCACTTCCTAAATTGGGAAATGCATAAAATAGAGTGGTGACAATGAAAGGCACAGAGGATCCTGACTGCTGAGTGCTCTGCCCAGTTATCCTGGAATGCACCTCAGACTTGCTCTGTGCTAGACAAACGAGCCCAGACTGATTTGGAAAGAGCTAATTAACAAAAACTTAAATAATCCAGGTTTCAATTATTTCAATTACTAAAATACAGATTTCCCCTAAAATTGAAAATTAGTATTACAAAGGAATAACAGTCTTTTTTCAGTGGTGCCCAGTGACAGGACAAGAGGAAACAGGCACAAACTTGAACATAAGAAGTTCCACCTAAACATGAGGAGGAACTTCTTCACTGTGAAGGTGGCAGAGCCCTGGCAGAGGCTGCCCAGAGAGGTGGTGGAGTCTCCTTCTCTGGAGACATTCCAAACCCACCTGGACACGTTCCTGTGGGACCTGCTCTGGGTGGCCCTGCTCTGGCAGGGGGTTGGACTGGATGATCTCCAGAGGTCCCTTCCAACCCCAGATCATTCTGTGATTCTGTGAACAGCAAAAATACACCAACAACGAGGCTCAGGAGCAGCCTGAAGAACTCTGCAGCTCTCAAAACGAGTTAGCACGTACCTTACTGAGCTCTGGAAAGAGTTCTTGGATCCCAATGTCCAGCAGAACATACGTTAACTAAAAGAAAATACAGAAAAAAAATCAAGAATGCTCCAAAGCAACCCGACTACTTATTTCTCATTTTTAACTCTGAATCAGAGCTTGCTCCTCTGCTCCAGCCGTGCATTCACCACAGCACATTCTGCCCCAAAAGGCAAGATTCTCACTTTACCTGTTTGTTGAGCACCGGCTGCTGCAGCCCGTCAAACAGAAGCCTGATGCCTTCGTATTTAGCCTCTTCCCCAATGCACTTGCCTATTAAATCTAGACCAACAACAAATACACGAGTCATTAGAAGCAATGCAAACCAGCTATACAACGCAATTATAGAACCCCAGTAATTAAAAACAGTTTAAGTTAAAGGAAAAGTTCAGCTTTATCCATCTGAAGTGGCAAATAGAAAAACAAACGCTCCTTTGGTTCTGTCTTTTCTCCTCCCTCCAGGGCTGTGCACCTGAGGAATTATTACACTTTTTATAATATCAATCTAGTGTCCTAATACACTGTTTAGTAAACCACAAGCTGAAATTGTTTAATTACTTTCTGAGCAACCCAGCAAACAGGCACCTCTTCCTTAGCTCATACAGTGTAAGGAGAGCTCAGGTTTATCTTCTGGCTTCGTGGCGTGCCGTTTTTAACCCAGTTTCCATCTGGGTAAGATACAAACCATAGGAGCACCCTAAAGATGAAGAAATTAGGGCACTGTGTACATTTGTAAAGCTCTCTATTTCCATCCTGTCTTTATTAATCACTTTGCTACAACCCCAGTCAGCAACACTTCAGGGATGAAACTGAGCTCTGGGTTTTTACACCAGTGAATTCACACCTTACCAGCGTTAAGTATTATTTGACTTGGGAAATGAATGTATTTGGGTTATGTATCTGCTTGAACAATCAGCCATAGTTGTAAAAAGAGTCGTGAAATACAGAACCTGGAATGTATCTCATCATTTCTTCAAAAGTCTGCTTTGCCCGTTTCTGTTTATCCTGGAGAGCGCGGGGTTCGGTGTTCTCACAGAACACGGCATCTGCAGAGAAACATGGAAAAAAACCCAAAACCCTTCATGCAGCTACACTTCACTGGCAAATACACAGCGTTTGGGATTGTGGCTTTGAAGCTGAACTTCTTTTCTGTATGATCCTGGAAGGGAATTCTAGCCTTGCCAGATAATAGCTTTTTGGATTGTATTACCCCGACAGAATCCAGAACACCCCAACTGTGTGAAGGATAAGAATCTTCTGCCAATTTGTATCCATTCTTTTAAAATTTTTCAAGCCTTATCTTCTAGGTTTGGATCAATTCTGCTTTAGGTTAGTTTTCATCTCCTTAAAACTTCCCTTATACTTTCAAAACTATAAGCCGTATTTATAGAATCACAGAATTGTCTAGGTTGGACTTTATACCTTGTGCTAAAGCACTGTCTGGAACTGTTAAAAATTTCAGATTTCTCTCTGAATAAAAACCCAAGAATTGATGCTTATCAGAAATCTGAGGCACTCAAGTTTTGGTTTTAGGCTCCAAAAGATTTGCTCCTTTCCTGCTTTGTCTTTCACAAGATTTCTTTATGGCTTGATACAGACAGAGCTGTCTTGACAGCAGAGCCTTGGCCAGATGTGCTGTTTGGATCAGGCTGTAGTCAGATAATACTTCTCTACAGTTGTGAGGTAAATTTTAATTTTTTTTTTTTAATCTCCCTCCCTTTCCCTTATTTGAAGGTCAAGAACACTCAAACCCTCCCAAAAGCCCACCACAACAAAGAGAACAAAAAAAATTATCAGCAAAGGACTGTAGTGCAACAATTGAAAACTAATTTAAAGAGAGCATGAAATATTCATGCTGTGATACACGAAACCACCTTCATTGTGTTTTTCATGTTCTTTGCACACCTCAGCAAATTACTATCTATAATACTTTCTTCTGTAATCATCACTGACAGACGTGGCCGACTCAACATCGTCCCACAACATGCTTTTAGAATCTTTTAATCAGCCCAACTTGATTTTTTAAAACTCCACCAGCCTTAGTCAAGAATTGCCAAGTTTGGTACTTGGAAACTCAACAGAAGAGATTTCAAACATCAAACTAAAGCCGTATTTTCACACCAAAGACGTAGCTTTTACCAACCTCTCAGCAGCGTTATCAGAGAAACCAAACGATGCTCCTGAAACAGCTGTTCCAACTTATAATGCAAGTAAT